CAGTTTTTTATAATAATTAATATAAGATTTACTTCCAAGAGTCTATTTTAGTTTTATTTAGTTTCATGTGTTAGCAAATAAATAAATGAATAAATAAGAATATTTGCTGTGTGACATTTTACACTGATATCAAAATATTGTACAACATGAACAAAAAGAAGTAAAAGAATCATTCAACTGAACTTAAAATTAATCTTGGTCCACTTTATTGTTTTTTTTACACCTTCAACTTTAAGAAAATGCATTTAAACTGAAATAAAAATTTTATTTTTCATAAGGTATCAAATTTTTGTTACAAAATTATTTTAATTAGAAACTCTTCAATATCGATTATACTCTGCGGTTTGAGTTTCAACAAGAAGAAAAACAGAATTACAGCAAAACGTATTAAAATTATCAAAGTATAAAAGCGCAATAAGGATGCAGGTAACCCCCGAAGAACTCGGTGATTGAAGAACATAAGTTTCGAAGAACGCGAATAACGCCTCCGTTCGCATTACACGATTTTCGAGTAGTACACTTTCGGACTAGAGTATTATTTTTATTATTATTATTATAAATTTAGCCACAGAATAAATTCTAAGACTAAAGTTTTAAAGCACTAGCATAAAAGGCTTTCGGCTTGTATTAAAAACTTAACCGCACATGGGATTTAAAACCCGCGACAATTGAGTTGCTAGAAGAGGCTCTTGTCTACTCGGCCACTCAAGCGGATAAGAGCAACAGAAATATATATGTATATATTATTTGAAATAAAATTACTTCCAATAATGTCATTGGATTGAAAAAATAGAGAGTTATGAACAAAGCCATGAAACTGAATGCCGTTATTTTATAGTCTCTAACAACGTGGCTTCAAAGAATACTGAACCGGATAATTGTGTTCTTCGGAGGTTACCTGTAATGCGTTCGGTCATGAACTACTCTTTTTTACCACCATAAACGTTTTCATGAAAAAAAAGACTAAAAAAAGAAGGAAAAGAACATAATATTCTTGCAATATTGGATAAGTGCGGCTGATTTTGCTATTTTTGTACAATGCAGGCGAGAACAGATACCGTGTGTCTGTTGCAATTTACGAGTAAGAAGTGAAGATCTTTTTAGTTTTAGGTGGATTGTAGAGGCGCCCTTTGACGAGTTTAGACCGTTTCAAACTCTTTCACATATTTCTAGGCGATTTTTTTACTTTTGTGAATAGGAGAATATTTATCGACAAAGCTGATAGACAAGAACGTCTGTTGAGCAAAAGATGCCAGCCACACGAATAAGTGGACGAGCAGATAGGCACGCAAATTAACACAAAAACGGTCGGATGGATGAATAGACAAAGACAAAAGACAAATGATCAGAATGTTAAAAACTTGATTTTTTATTTATTCCACTTATACTAGAAACTCAACTAAACAAATAAGAGTCGAGTTCAATTGGCTCTTAATGCAAAACTTATATTAATTAACAATAAAATTGAGTATAAGCATAATAAAACAAATAAGAAGAAGAAAAAGAAAAAAGAAAAAAAAGCATGTACACTATCAGCATAGGAGCACACTTACAACCGGTACAGGGCCAAATTGCAAATGAACCCCTAAGCCATCGCAAACATGCATAAGCCTGGCAACCGATAATAAATTGACAATAATTCACTTTCGAAACTTAACGACTTTTTAAGGATAAAAGCTAGTTTAAATACGACATAGGTAAATCGCGCGTATTAAGCAATGTTGCTTTAATGGACTTTAAAGAGTCCGATAACGAGAATAAGTAGTAGACGTCATTTAGGTTCTTGCAAACGACTCTGAGCGGATTGAACAGCTCATAATTAAATTTACACTGATTAAGCTTAACCAAGATAAAGTGCCTAGAGAAGCGGTTAGGGACATTAAAGCTTATTTCACCAAGTAATGAAGGCGAGTCAATAGCACCATTTATTACTTTAATTAGAAAGGAAACGCCAAGAACAAATCTATGTTTCTCAAGAGACGGTAGGGACAGCAGAAGCAACCTATTTTCATACGGAGGAAGAGAGGCAATCGGATCCCAACCCAAATTTCTAAGGGCAAACAGCAAGAATTGCTTTTGAACAGATTCAATTGAATCTACGTAGCACCTATATGAAGGAGACCACACAACTGAGGCATACTCGAGTATGGGTCTAACCAAACACATGTACAGCCTTTTCGTAATGTAAGGACCATCAAGCTCTTTGGACCACCTTTTTATAAAACCAAGCGCGGACCTAGCTTTGCTAATCGAGAGCTCAATATGTAAGTTAAAACGTAACCTATGGTCAAATAGAACGCCTAAATCTGTAATCGAATCGACGTCCTCCAACTTATGCGAATCTATGAAATGCTGAGTAATGAATGACTTTCTTCTTGAGAATGAAAGCTTCTTACATTTACTCAGATTTAGTTTCAGAAGATTCAAAGAGCACCATGCAACAAAATTATCCAAATCACCTTGAAGCTGATGTGATTGCGATTCAACAGAGAAGGAAGAAAACAGTTTCACATCATAAGCATACATTAAGATCTGGCTGGAATTAACCACCGATGGGAGATCGTTAATGTATAAACTAAATAAAATAGGACCTAACTGACGTAATAGCTCTTGCTTCCCGCTTCTCGCGTCTAAATTAGTCCAAAGCTCTTTATGTAAATGACATATCTGCGTTTCTCTTTTAGATGAATTTTCAGATTTCGGATACTATCCTCTCTTTTCTCTCTTGGTTTACTTTAACGATTGTCACGTTGCTCTAGTATAATATATGATACGATTTTCTTATCCTTGGTTTCTCCTTTCACCTGCGTTGATAATTTAAGATTGTGAAGCCGTTTTTTGTGATCACGTTAAATACTTGGAGATTTTGCTGGTTTAAAACCTAATCTCTGCAATTATGTTCAGTCAATGAAAAGCACGTGTTTAAATTGAGGTCTGTATCTAAGATTCTCTTATGTAAAGTTGTTGTTCAACAGATTTTACTATAAGCTTGTCAAGTATGGGTTAGTTGGGCTCTAGCCCACCAAAGTGAATTATGGAAAATGGCTTAACTTGCCTAGGGATGTTTCTATTAAAAAGTTTCTCAAAATTTCAAATGTGGATCCATTGCAATTAAAAGTTGTCGTGTTTTACAGAAAAAATCATATTAAGTTGTCACTTATCTGACAACATTCTTCTAAGTCCACACTTTGTAAGCCCTAATACTTAGCCTATTTGAAAAGTCATTCGTGATATTTAACTTTAACTGTAGGTTTTTATTGCCAAGTTTTTCTTCGCTGCGCACATTGTACATGTTATTTAAACTTTAATATTTCTTTTTGTTCATTTCTTTGCACTATAATAATATCGGATTAAGGATATTTGTAATATTGTAAAATAAGTCTATAAAACTACTAAACTAAGCTGAAACTTAAAAAAAAACCTTTAAAACGAAAGTAAGCTAAAGTAAACTGAAACAAGTAGACACACTAAGATACTATACGTCCCGTCATTAAATGGCTTGTATTACTTTGCTTAGTGCAGTTATTCGTATGATGGTTTTTAAAAATAAATCTTTATATGGAGAGTGGTCGAAATCGGTTTCCAAAAGGGTTCGTCCTTGGTCAAAAATATGTCGGTTTCATCATTTTCGTAAAAATATCGCAAAGATTACAATCGACAAGTTGAACACTAGAAAACAAGACTTGCATACGGACAGACGAGTTTGGATCGATTCAGAAAATGATTTTGAGTTATGGTTTTGAGTTCTTCTGGGTGTTGCGTATATCTGTACAAATTTAATATACTCTTGTATCACAAGTTGTGTAAGATATAAAACAGTTAGAGAGAGAGAGAGAGAGAGAGAGCTTCGATAATCTCACTGCTAATTTATTTACATATATAATGGCGTCCACTCATATCTTGAATATTTGTGACATTTTAATATCGCAACACATGGGAGGGCTTAATTATACCGATCGATTTACAATCATTTTCTGAATTGATCTAAGCCTATCCCACCGCCTATTCGTCTGGTGTCTGTCCATGTATCATTGTGTTCAAGTCGCAATTTTTGAGATATTTCGATGAAATTTGGTAAACCGACCTGTTTTGACCCAAGGATGAACGCTATTGAGAAATGGTTTGGATCGGCCTATTTTTCCGACCACAAGCCATATAACGCTCTAATACAATTCTCCTACGAAAATTGAATCTTTATGAAGGATAGAAAAGTGTAACTTTCAACATTTTATGTTAAAAATTGTATCGTAATAGAAAATTCACAAAGAAGGCAACTTTAAGGAATTTGCACCAGTTAGATCTATTTTTGGGATACAAGCGCATATAAGGATTGGCAGAAACGCTTTTATGCCAGAAAAGCCGAAATGTTAATGTTTTATGATGAAGATATATATCTTCATCCGACCAAATCTGAAGCACATGGGTCTATTTCTTGGACCCTAGTCCATATAAGATTTCTTATGAATAATAAGTCCTTCATTTTTCATAATGAAAAATTTAACAGTAGGGAATTTGGATCACATAAGTCTACTTTTTAGACCCGAAAACGTGTAAGGGCTATCATGACAAGCAAGTCCGCGTGTCGAGAGAAAGTTTAATATTTAGTTTCTGGTGAAGAAAACTGAAAATTAAGTTAAGCTAAACTTGGATCACGTCGTTTGGTGTTTTGGACATCCGCCAGTATGACTTTGTATGAAAACAATGTGTAATTTTTTACGAATGAATAACACAATGCCAGGCGAAGTGGTAAAGAGCCCTTGCCATAATATTCTTACTTGTTTAAGTATAGACAGGAAAAAGTATAGCAGGCTTTAACAACATTGTTTATACTTGAAGTAATCTTTATACAATGATGTCTACAAAGCCTTTTCTTTTACTTTTGTTTCACAAAAATTATTAACTTTGAAACAAAATTTGTATATATATATATATATTTTTTTTTTTTATTTATGTTTATTTTTTTCATTTTTTTGCTTATCATTCTGCAAAGCATTCATTACCTTTTAAATATTAATTTAACTTAATCTGAAAGCATTTGATTAAATTTGGATATTTTCGCGCGCGAAGAAAGTAACAAGAAAGAAACGAAAACTTTTCGAACAACCGTAGTCAATGATTACAATAAGCGAACTGAGAGCTGTGAGAAAGATTAGCAAGAATAATAGTTATATATGTAAAATTAATAGAAAGATAATTTCATATGTATTTGTTTCCATTGCTTAATTAAAAGGTTTGCTTCACGACAACAAAAACAAACACACATATATATACATATATATATATATATAGTTATTTTTTCGTAAACTAGTTTCAAGTTTATTTTTGTTTAAGACCCATTCAGTACATGGATGTTTTTAGACAAGTAAGTTAAATGCAAATGTGCTTTGCTAAAATGTGTGGGGTCAGTATAAGATATTTTCTTGCTTTTTGACAGATTAGAACGTGTTTAAAATAAACTTTTTAATTCAATTCACATTTGTTCAAATATATATTACAATGTTTTTAAGGTAAGCTCTATGCACGCCAGACCGTGGGCGCAGCTCACACACACCTTGTTCTTGCCTTCACTTACTCACAACTGAAAGCACATTTTTTGAATGGAAAGGTTTCGCTTAATCTATTCAATGTTTATATATAGACTTAAAAACTTTTTTTCAACATTCGAAAAACAATAATCAAAAGATTAATGAACGAAAATTATCAAATAAATTAAGTGTTTTTGTCAAATGTCTTAATTATAACGTTTCGTAATACATCATAAGTTTTTTGCTTATTCTTTTCTACGTTTTATTATTTTTCCATCTTCTCTTCTCTTTCTTATTCTTGTTGTTATTTTTATCATATTATTATGCAATAATCAATTAGTTATATCATTAACTTGGTTAACCTATTGCTTAAGTCTGGCGACACAATAGCGCAATCATGTGCAAAATTTTATTGTAACTCATCTTTACAAGGCTGCACACAATAATAATTTACTTCAAATACTCAATAAAGTAACGTAAACGAAGAAAAAAATGATGATCAGCTTGAAACGAATTTTTGGATACCCGTTACGTTTCATTTTTTTTTTCTTTTTTTTGTTGCACATAGATGTGAAGTTGATTTTAATCTCCCTTGTTGCATATGTAGCATGCTATTATATTATAAGCATTCTATTATATAGTATGAGATATGAAAACTCATGCAAACTTTTTTCTGTTCTTGACTGTAATATTAATTAAGATTAAAACATAATTTTTTATATAGCACATCAGTTAATAATTCCCGGAACCAGGACGCACGTATCATTTTCAACAAAAGTCGATGTTATATTCAGAAGGCGTCATGACTCAAAGAACGCCATGATATCAATTTCTTTTTGCGAGCACCGAGCAAAACCGGAACTTCTTACGCGATCGCAGAAAGGGAGAGTAACTAGTCTTACATCCGCCGGAAAAATTCCAATCACTATAATAGATGTTCGACGGCTAATCCTATCAATAAACGACGTCTTAACAAAAATGTTGGCTAAAATTTCAGGTCATTTCGGTTATTTGTGAATTATTTACGGTTTCACTACTTGTATCAATGGACATCGTATTGCCGCAATGGAAAATCCGAATTGTGTGTCTTGACTGCACATTGCCTTTTTAATGGGAAAAAATCGGAAAAAATTCCGCCTAAGATCAGCATTGGCTTGATCGCTCTCTTTCGATTAACAAGGTCACACAGGCACCGATGATATTGAACGACGCTTCGTTGGTGGTGGAGTTGATCAAAAAAAAAAAAAAAATTCGAGAAATCATTCTCGCTAATCGAAAAGCGAATTTGCACCAGAAAGCTGACCCACTAAAGACATCTAAACAGGGCATATTTACTGTTTTGTACGCAAATGTGTTCAAGAGAAAACTGGGTTACGTATAGTGGAACACAGACACAGTATCAAAAATCGTTGGCTACCGCATTAGTTGAAACTGCCTTAACTGAAGTTCGAATTGCTAGCGCACAGACTATATTTTCCAGATCCAGTCCTCAGGCACCATTATCTGTTTGCAAATGTTGCGAAGATGCGTCAGGGAATAAGAACTGGAACAAATAGTGAGTTCATTGTGGAAACTAAAGCGTTTTTTCTTTTCACCGATAAGACATCGAAATGTTACAGAGGCGTTGGACTTTATTCGCGTTAATCGTGAAAGAAACTGTGACGACAAATAAAGCTATACTTATATATACTGTGAAGCCGCCTTCTGCGTGTTGCAAACATTTTCTCCAAAGAAAAAAAGTCTTCAAATCAAAGTTGGTTTCATTGTGCAAAGAATAAATTACATGAATTATTATACACTTATTCAAGAATATTACATATTTGCTTAACTCTATTAGATTTCATGCAATGCGAGAGAAAATCTACAAATGAAAACCTCCGAGTTTCGCTTGTGCAAAGTTTACGAAAAAAGGTCTTTTAAAAAAATGTTGTCAGTTGAGTGACAATTTGATATAAATTTATTATATAATTTAATAAATTTTGTTTGTAATGTGTCTGTCTACCTATGTTATTTATGTAAAACAGTATCTAGACAAGTTTAATATCATTTTCAATAATTCATTTTGACATGTTTGCAGATTAGTGGTGTAGGTTAAGAGAGCACAGTTACACAGAGCATAAAAAAGATGTCATGATCTTGAATTATTAAACCAGATGAAGGCAGAAAGCAAGGGTTTCCATTTCGAGTAAAAAAGATTGGCTTTGTCTTTGTTGCATTTAACTTTATTTGTCATTTAATGGATGGTATAGAAAATCTCCGCGATTTTTTGGTCTTCTTTTGTTTGGAGCTTGTTTTGTAGTCTGCCCCTTTGAGACGATACCAAACTGTCATGTCTTGCCTCCGCTATTTCCTGACAACTTGCGTGCCTATCTTGCTCGATCAGTTGTAAAATTTCATCGACTTTCTCAGTGACTGGCCGAGCAGAGCGAGGTGCCCCTTTGAGATGGAAACTTCCGCAACACAATCGAGCAAACCACTCCTGGGTCCATCGTTCACACACAACATTGCCACCGCACACTTCACAAACTTTTCGACATGTTCTTGTATGCTTTACTTTTCTTATAGTAAAAATGCATCACATAACGTATATCATTTTCAGATCAATATAACTTTACACGCGAGCAAGGAATTAGAAAACTGTCTTCACAAAAAATGTAAGCTGAAATGTCACCGTTTAAGCGCGTGTTCGTTTGAGATAATCAGATGAGTATTGACCGATATACACCCATCAAGTTGCAAAAAACCTCGGAGGTCTTTTACATCACCCTTTGTGGATATTATACTAACTGCAATTTTCAACTCGTTTACTATTTCGCAAACTACTTCACGTGAAGAGTATTTATCAGAAAGCAACGTAACAATCATTAAGTTTTGGGAAGAGTCAGAACAGAAAATCGAACACAAAGCGCGACTGAGAACAGGTTCTTGTACACACCTTCAGGTAGATGTTTTCTGTGTATGAATAATGAACTGAAACCAATTTTTTATTCCTTTTGGGAAACACAGGTATATGGTACTGTAAGCGTGTGGTTCAACCGACTTGGCGCATTTTCAATACCAACAAAACCTTCTGCAAAAACTTCCGATGTGTCTGCCAAATTTGAAATCGATAGCTTAATTTTTGCGATCAGGAGAACGTTTGTAACTGATATTGCACAGACAGCAGATGGACAGATGGACAGTCACTAAAAACACTTCTGCTTTTCAAAAGATATAGAAAAAATCAATCACGCCCACTTTATATTATAGAGTACGAAAGATTCGTTTTTTAACTTTTTTTTGTCCTTTTTAGGACCACGGTGATGGGTATAAAAGATTCGGTCATCATCGAATATAATTTTCTTATTTGTTATAATATTAAATATATATCTCTAAGCATTGGATACATTTCATAAAGCATTTAACAGCAAGTCCCGTAAGCAATCTGTTATAGTTAACGTACCTTAATCTAATCTCGTTATAGCCAAAATAAGATTGACACAATAACGAACTAAAGATTGACATTTTCAAATGTTTTTTTTTTGTTCTGGAAGAACATATTAACCTTGTCAAGTTGAATTATAATCTGATAACACGCAATAACGAAGAAGAATGTGTAAGCAATTTCAAGTTTTTAAAAAAAGTAGAGAAAGTTAACAGACTGACACTCAGACGGGCATGAAATCGGTTATGCTAATCGATAATAATCTCTTCAAACAACTTTGACAGCTTTGACAAACCATTCCATTGTCTACAGAAGAGAAGCAACGCAATGATTGCTAAAGTACTTGAAAACAAAATTATATTAGAAAACACGTAAGAAAATCATATTCGGTTATGACCGAATATTTTATACCCATTGCGGTTGCCCTGCGGAAGACAAAAAAATTAAAAGAACTACATTTTCATGCTCTACAATATGCAGTGGGCTTGGCTGATTTTTTTATTTTTCAAAATAAAAGTTTTTGTCGCATAGGCACGTGGACTTTGTAGGCATATCCTGCGAAAAGTTTAGGACACTTCCAAATTCTTTTGCAGATTGGTAGGTGATGTCTTCATTTTTACGAAAGGGAGGAACTCTACCACAGAGACTGAACGGTTGAGCAAACGATGAGACAAACAGACGGATATGCTTAGTCGCAATCCAAATCCAAAAGAATTTATACACTTTCTGGGGGCTTCGAAGTTTGTGTCTGCGCTTTGTAAAGGTCTTGAAAAAAAAAAAAATTATATTTTCACACGCTATAATATTGGGTAGGCGAGTTCAAATTTTTCCTTCTTGTATAGATACTACAGCATACCCCGTAGAATGTATGTTCAAATTTTTGCACGTTTTCCACGATTTGGGTCGGTTTCATTACCCAGCCTAGATGCAATCAGTTCCAAAGTTTCTGCGAAATTTGACGGCGATGGACATTTTCGCGGCCAGACGGACAGACGGTCAAATGGACTTGTTTAAATCGATTCAGAATTTCGTGCTAATGCAGAATATATATATTTTATGCGGTCTCTGCAGCATCCTTCTAAGCGTTGCAAACGTATTAACAAAATGAATATACCGTTTATCCTTCGATGACGGCACATAATAAAAACTAACTGTTTTGAATAAAAGCTTCTTAAAATG